TCGTCCAGAACCACTGCGGTAGAAGCCGTGGATTTGGCCGTTCAGCATGCAAAAAATCGGAAGGGCATGCAGCTACCAAAGCCACCAGACTCTTCGCAAACACAACAATGCTCATTGGAACATAACGGCGAAAAACCAATGCAGGTCGGTATGTAAGGATGAGCACATGCATCCTGGATTCCCGATATGTGGCGGGTGCAGGTAGAGGCGACGCGCCTTGCATGTAGTAACAATCTTCATGCAGCATTCTTAACACCCAAGCTAGCTTCACGCGCAAGTTTGCAAAGGCAACCTGCAAAACCTAGGTTTGGAACTCGCCACCAGCGTCCTGTCTACTCTCAACCACAATGCCTAAGCACCGCAGCACAATTGTGGCACAATTCTCGCAGGGCTTGACGAGGCCCTAACGCCCTATGCGTCCAATGACACTCCTAACGGTTCCTTGCGCAATATCTTACAGGTTGGTGGCACAGAAACCGCTCTTAGAATTCACCTAAGGCCTGCAGAATGCTGACCACCACGCCAGGCGCCAGACCCGCATCAATGAGATCTTCCCGTCTAGCTGCACGCAGGCGTGCAGCGGTGCGGAATTTAGCTCTCCACAGTATTTTCAAGTCCTCTTCATCTAAATCAGCGGAGTCTAGGCCAGCCTCTGTGACGGCAGCGCACATATGCTGCCCCTCATTTGGCGTCAGTGAGGGTGTTTCCATTGGCCAGCGGTTAGGAAATTTTCAATGCCCCCGCCTTTCTTACGTTCGCTAGTCATTTTCATCGTCGTACAAGCACCCGTAGGGAGAAACTCGCTAGTCATTTTCATCCGTGTCGTACAGGCACCCCTAGGGAGAGCCTCGCTAGTCATTTTCGAACTGCAAATCCGTAATCTCTGTCGTAAAAGGCACTTGTTGGAGATTCTCCCTAGTCATTTTCGCGCGCTTCGGTATTAGTCGTACGAAGACGCCGAATATTTTACTATGCCTTCTACCGGCTTTGCAAGTGAACAAAGTCTCTATCAGAATACTGAATTGCC